GGTCAAATTCATTTGTCATAATTGACGTTTTTCTAAATTGAGCATAAAATTAAATAGAGTTAATAATTTTTTATCTCGTTATTCGCGAGTGGGTCTGTTGAATGAATATATAACTGAGTATGTGGAAGCGATGGTGCGTGCATTTGCCTAACAACATGACTCATAACACGATTATTTATATATTGCTAAAACAAATAAAAGTCTTCGTCGATAGCATCTTGTAGATAATTAAATTTTCCTTAACAATCGATTTGAAGTGGATGAAAGATGGCCGGGGCGAGCGTTTCAGTCAACACAGGAAGATTGCATTATTGTTAAAAGCATTTCTAAAACTAACTTGTTCTTAACTCTACTATAATCAAATAAGCTAAAAGAATGTTTATTTAACGCGGTTTCATAAAAATAAACTAAAACAAATAAAAACAGATAACGTATAATTTCTTCCCTCAAACTCTAAACTTACTACAACTTTTTATAATATTTCATTTTATTTTATGTTTGTATTGTCTAAAAAGGAATTATAAAGGATTCAGTCATGTAGTAAAATTACGAAATTAAATTCTTTTTATTACAACCACAATTTAAAGCGTTTTTAGGGATTTTAGAATCTTCCACTAATACTCCTCTTATTGTTTTATGTTAAAAAAAATAAATAAAAAAATAAAACAGAATTATATCGGCCAAGACACGATTTGTCAGTGAATCAGTTGTACCTCTATCTGCTTGTAACCCTAACGTGACCTTATGACTTCCACATAACAAATGATGTTGAAGGGGATTTATTAGCATTTGTAAAGCAAACTGTCAAAGGAAGGGAAATAGAAAATTTATTAGGAAAAAGAGAATCACTTATTAAAGAAAAGATTTTTTATGTATATTAATAGTTGTTTTGAAAAGTGTGTACAGTGAAATGTTATTTAAAAGTTGCTTTTGTAAAAGGAAAATAGAATTTAGCAGGAAGTGAAAAATAAATAGAACATGCAATGTTAAACCATATGTATCATTGTAAATCGTTACATTGGCTTTGGTGTAAACATTAGGACGTAGGGTAGTTTTGTTTTCTTTTGAAATTAAAGCATTTCTTGTCACTCATCAAATTTTGTGAATACTGCTTCAAAGAATAATAAAAAGTATACAACACTATTTAATGGAGATTAAACGTTTTTTTCTTAGAAAGTATAAATCTTATCATATATGTATATTGTAAGATTTCCTTTCTCAAACATTTGTCAAATACTTCTTAATTAAAAACTGCAGTAGTAACGAGAAATCATAAGTTACAAAAAATATTCATTAAAAATTTTATCTGATTCATTTAAACGCAAAAATGATTTTCTATTTTTTGAAAAAAGCCTGGATGCGACGGGCCCTGTTACTCGGAGAAGGTCAGACACAGGCATCCGACAAGATAACATTTCACATTTCTCAGTCACAGATCGTAAATAGACACGCGTATTGGACTCACTGATGTATTGGAAATATCGAGTGCTTGAATGGCTTCCGACTTGTCATAGGTTGATTATTTTCTCCCAGGGGCTATATTTCAAATGTCAAGTGAACAAGGCTGAATATGGTGATATTGGAAAACTGATAGAGAATGTACGTCATAATAATTGAAAGAAGTAAAAAAAAAGTAATAAATCAAAAAAGCAACTTCCAGTTTTGAAAGTGTAGACCTTAAATACTGATGTAAAGACATTCGACTCATAAATCCTTTTCCCAACATTCAGCCCCAAGGAAAAACCGCGATTATTCTTAAAAATTCATTTTGGTAGCTAAGAAGAGAAAATTTTGGCACTGTGCGAACAAGACAATGAATGTTAAATGAAAGACATAGCCCAAATTACTCCGAGGAATATTGGGGTTCTGGGAACGAAGTCTGGTTGTGAATGTAATTTATTAGCGTGAATTTGCGGGCTTATCCCAACTTACCCTGAATAATATCGAGTACACTGGGATAGAGTGAACGAAGTCTCGTGTGTGAATTTAATTTATTAATAGAGAGACTTATCGAAGATAATCGAGTTCGTCCAGTTTTTTTTTTTTTTTGGCGTTATGAACTATGCATATTAGCCATGTGACACAATTCGTATATGTGTGTTCAAATTTGGGGGGGTTATTGTGAAAAAAGGGCCAGGGGCAACGGTGGGAATCGAACCCACGACCGCGGCGTGAGAGTCTCTCATGCTAACCACTCGGCTACCGCGGTCCCCCGTTCGTCCAGTTATATCATACAATATCGTAACGTCGGTGGAATAGTAAGAAAAGAAATTAATATGTATGTTTAAAATGGTAGAAAGAATTGAAAAGGTAAGTCGAGAGGGCTGACGATGAACAATGTTGTTAGCCGTTCCTAAAAGTAAAAACCAAATCTAAACTAAAAACAAATTGTCACTAATAAAACAATTGTATTATACTGGCTTTTAAAAAATTAATTTTAAACGGTTACAATCTTGTTAAACAGCTACAAAACCAATCCTTTTAGATAAGCTAGTTTTTTTCTAGTTAGAAGTACCAGCGTACTAACGCTTTATACCCAGGGTTTTATGGTAGACAGTAGGTAATAACTGAAGAAACATAAAGCTTAAGGGTGGACAGTATTCCAGGTATTTAAATTTACTACTAAAGAGGTACACATTTGAAAGCGTTCCAATTGTTTTAAGGCAATTCGCAAATCCTTCCAGGTACAATGCTTTGTAAAGTATGTAACTAAGGGTAGAACAGAGAAAGGGAGTAATCAGAGATTAAATTATAATATCTTTAAAATGGAAAGCTTTTAGTAAAATTAGAGAATAATTAAAATCTCTCGAAGTACTTAACTTTCGGTTAAACAATATTACAATTATATAACAAATTATTATAATAAAGGATACGTCAACACAGTTATATTATTATACAAGTGATATATTAATTTTGTAAGAGAGTATATTTTAAAAGTCAAAGTTTTGGATAAACGATCAGGGCAGTTGTCTAAATTTTGAATTTATTTTTTCAACTTTTCTCCCCGAATGTGTATAAATAATGAACTTTCAGCAAAATTGCACAGAAAAAAGAAAAAAGCTAGGGCGTGTTTGTAAGTGGTTTTATTTATTGCATCAATTGTCATTATGGACAATGAATACATCGTAAATTCGTTATGGTAAAGGTGTAAGTAGGGAGAACATACGTTATTATTTTTGCGCTGTTGTGTTTATAATCCCTTAGGAAATAAATTGTACTATTTATTGAATGCGAATGATCGATTAGGTAGGTCTCTAAACGAAGAAAACACGTGCCATTGCCCTTGAAATTTGTTTGTCTTCCTTTAGCGTTTGAATTAACCGTCGGGAACATATACTCTTGAGTAAAGCACAGGATATTCGACGGAAATAAAAACACTTATTTAAAACCGGAACGATTTTCTGGTTGTCCATGCGTGAGAGAGTTAATAACCACGGTGTCATTTTTCCTCGTTAGTGACTTTCCTCCCCGATTTTTTTCTCTTTTTTTGACCCCGGGCAAATAGAAGTGATTCCTATCACCGAGAAAATAAAATAAGCGGGTTTTCTTGAGTTTGTCTCTTAATACAACCGACCTAAAACAATAGGCTATACGAAACGATCTTACACAAAGTTATAATCTATAATTGGACACACTTACACAACGCGGCAGTTAGTTCTAGGTGCGCAATTCTTAGGAATCAACTTCAATTCGTCCAACGAGATTCAAGGATCCGGGTGAAATTCCTTTATCCAAACATAAACAGGGGTGGGCTAGAAGGCAATTAACTTTGCCTTCCTTGCAGATTCTACAGAGAACAATTTTGGGATATTTGCCCAGTTCTAATAATAAACGTTTGCTCCAATTGAACAATTATTTGGAAGAAAAATCCAAAAAAGCGCATGCCCTTGTAATATGTTTCAGTTCTATTCATTTCGGGCGTGCAATTGCCAATAGAATCTGAGAGGTGTTCATATATTATAATTTTTTTATTTGCAGCCCTACCTGCACATAAAGACAATTTTTCACCATGACAAATCTTTAAAATTAAAAATGGGACGTTAATGCTTTAATGTTCATATATTGGTTTGGAACGAAACTAATGATGTTTTTCAATTATAGGATTAATTAAAAGGCTTTATTTCTCGTCGGTTTATGTTTTTACCTTATTTAGTTGTGTAGAATAATTTAATAGGTAATCGTGTTTGGATGAAACGAATTTCAGTCAATGTTTATTAATTCCAAAAAGGTACAATGCAGATGCTGCAACATTTATGTGCAGTATTTGGTACTGAAAATGACTAGAAGCAAGCACAAACGGTGGCTTGCTCGATTTGGAGAAGGAAATTTTGTTCTTGAAGATGAGACGCAAAGTTGACGTCCTTCTGAGGTTGACGACGACATATTGATGCATAGGCTAGAAGGAAATCTCTTATTAACGACCCCAGAACTAGGAGAGATGCTAATCCTTTCCCACACTAACATTGGAAACTTCATCCAATGGGTTTGTTCAAAAGCAGTTCTTCATGGATCCTACACGAACTCATCGAAAGAAATTTGGCGGATTTCGGAATCCACTCTAACGTCACTCTCGGGACCCATCACTTCATGGGTAACAGCTGATAAAAAATGAATCACTTAAGAAAACACAGTCCACAAAAAATCTAATTGCTCCCAAGTTGCTTTGAAGGCCAAACAATTATTAACCGACCTTAATCGGGAAATTTTATCCTGCATGATTTAACGTTCGACTACTTGTTGAGTGTCGCGGACGAGAGGTCAGAACCACATTACAATACCTTTTAAACATTATTAACAATTAATATTCCACGGGCTGTCCTGGGTTTCGAACACAGAACCGCAATCGTGTCCAATAAGAGTCCGACCGTTGAATAGGCTAAACCTGCATGACTTCAGAGCTATGCGGGTTTAGCACAAAGAGAAATGCACATGTAAATTAATGTACAAAACAAATGAAAAGAGAAAATGAAAGGGATTAGTTATAATAAATTCAAACTTACTTAAACAGCCGGGAGAATTGCTTTAGCATACCATCCTGGAACAAATTAAGAAGATTTAGAAATGTTAATCAATATCAGACACAATTTTAGCATAATAATTTAATGATAATGCAATTAGGAACTTTTTTTAAGTCACTCGGTACGAGATTATATAATATGATTTGGTGTTTTAATTTTCCACGAAGAGAAGTTTATTAAGAAAACAAAAGTTATTCAGTTGTGTTTATTTCTGGCATAAGACTGTTATAAAAAAACACATAAAACAATAGAATTATAGAATTCTTTATAATAATAAAGATTGAAAAGAACATAAATACGAGTATTATATTTACTAAGAATAACGCTATAATAGGCAGTTTCTGATATAAAAAATTGTTCGCCCAAGGAGCTTTTGGCGTTTTATTTATGGCCTTTCCGGATGAAACAGGGCTGATCTCTTCCCCTCTCCAAGAGTGGTATCTGAGAGGGCAAATTACCTTTCACTGTATTGCACCCTTGAAAACTTGAAAAAAAGACGGTTTCTTTATGAGGTTGAAAACTTTATTTTCCTCCCGTTTTTTTGTGTGTGCCAAGCAGTTCGAATTGCAAAGGCCTGCCACCAAAGTCGTTTTCCAACTTTGACTAATGATCAAATTTGCTGGCTCGGCGCCCATTGGTCCCTACTCGTATTAAACATAATACTGCCCATTATTATTTAGTACCATATTCTCCGATTTATATAAAAAATAAACATGTAATTTAAAAGCAATAAAATAAGACAAAACTATTGAAATAATATGTTGCGTAAAATTCAGTGTAACCATTATCTTGTATGGACATCTTGTAACTCTCTTTGTCTGTCTGTCTGTCTTTCTAACTCTGTCTCTCTCTGTCTGTTTGCTTCTCTTTCTAATATTTTTTGTGTTAATTATTTTCCTCGATAGTAAATAACATACATTGTACAAACTATACTTAGTTTTATATTAGAAAGAGAAAATAGTACTTCAAAACATTAAGAGGCAATTTTTATCTTATTTCTTACCAGATATCAATCGTGCTGTTGAAAATTCTTATGTTCTTAAAAATAGTTGTCCTTTAGTCCACCTAAAATAATTAAGACTATAATCATATTGGTCATTTCCAAATTCTGTACGAGTCATGTCCAGCAAGAAAAAAGAACAATATTTTGTATACATAATTTTTTTTTTTTTCTTTCTGTCTTACTTTTAGACTTGTACCTTCTGCTATGTCTCACTGTCTCTTTCTTTACCAGTCCATCTATCTGTTTCATTATATTCATCCTATATCTATTTTATTTTTCTCTTGTACTATTTTGGTTTGTTATTCTAAATTCTTTATATCCATCTTTCATTTTTTTATTTTTATCTCTTATCTTGCTCTCTCTCACTCCGACTCTTTCTCTCCTTACTCACTTACATCTATTACGATCTATTAATCCCATTCCTCTCATTCTATATATTTTTTGTTACTTGCTTATTTTATTATTCTTACTGATTATTTAACCTAATAGATAGCGATCGACGTCTGACTGAAACTGAATAACAGAACAAGTTCGAATAAGTTAAAAAAAAAGTACGGTGACAAGGAAAGGTGAGGTAGCTATCTAGAAAGCGAAGATTCAGATTTTTGCTGGGAAGGTTCCTGCTACCTTTTTGTTGACCGGCGTGGAATTTTACATATTGAAACTGAATTAACAGAACGAGTTCGAATAAGCTACGTGGCTGACAAAATATCGTGACAAAGGAGCCGGAAGGGTCCTTTTTGACTGCAGAAGAGAAATCGAGACGTTTGCCAGGATTTTTTATCACGCTTTAATAAATCATTTTTTGAATAAAATTGTTACCTGCAAACACGCAAGTACAAAAAACAGTATGGTGATAAAGGAAAGGGGAGGTAGCCTTTGAAAAAGCGAAGATTTAGTTTTCTGCTGGCAAGGTTCCTGCTACTTTTTTTGTCGGCCGGCGTGGAATTGTACATATTGACTTTTTGAACGCGCAACGCTTATTATTAGCATTTGTCTGAGTCAAAGGTTACTATCGTTAAAATAGGTAGCCAACCGACTTGAGACGTCACCTTCCTCCCCGGCAACGAGCCTTATGCGGCAGTAAATTCTAGCTGGTTAAAAATTAGACGAAATGAAATGGACTCCATTTGATCGTCTATCCTGTAGCTTTGACTTATCAATCAGCGATTTTCACATCTTAGAGACCGGGGCGTCCGTAATACGGCGGCTCGTCAGTGGAGGGTAAGGTGCCGGGTTTGAATGGATCTGCCCTGAATTCGGACAAGGAAATTTTGTTTCCAAAAACACCGGTTCCTTGAGGGGTCATTTAAACAACACTTTTTGGCCCCCTTAAGAAAAGAACGTGGAGAAACGAGATAATGCGGTAGTGAGTAAAGGCTTTCGTGAGTAAATGGCTCTCTTCTTTTGCTATGCCGAAATCAAGAACTTTCCAAGAGAAGTTTAAAAATTAACACCAAATAAAATAAAATGCAGTACGTTTATATTTTCCTTGTCTCTTTTATCTTATTTTTCATTTTTATTTTTATCTATTAGGACAAACCAATCTCACTCTTTGTCTCTGCTACTTTTTACATATTGCTAGTTATTACCTTTAGCTATCTATTCAATCTCCCTCAATTTTTATCTTTGCATAATGTTATTACGCTCATTTTTCTTTCTGAATGTTTTTTATCCTTCCTTATCTCTCACACTTTTTATGTTTATAAAGCTTCTTATTGTCTCCCTCGATTTCTATCAATCAATCTTTTTTTTCGTCTGTAATAAACTACGTTTTGGCCCAGACGGTAATGCGGTAATATTTTTGAAAGAAAACCAAATAACATCGAAATACAAAACTTTCCTATGGGGAGAGTGAAACGAATGGAGTGTATTAGTGAATATTTTGTCCCCGGAAGGACACAGTTCTATCTTGGTTTAATAAAATTGATGGAAAGCTTTTAAGAGTAATTGGGTCGAGGAACGTATACCGGGTGGGATGATTATAATCAATATATTACTTGATACGTATTGGTATAGGGAAAAGTACCCATCTCACGTCTCAAAACAACCTTTCATTATCTATTATTTATCAGGTAATTTCTCCTGTTTTGAGCCAGTACAATCAGTTGGGGAGGGGGTAAAAATAGATAAAACGTAAGTTTTAATATTTCAAAAGCATTTATTGTGCCATTTTCTCCGAGTCGGCTATGCGGGGAGCTATACATTCGCCATGAGGATTGGGCAAGCTTGATAAAACATGCAGAAGAGAAATGGCCTACGGCTTTCAAATGGACGGCTCGATGAAGTAGGCTATGAACCAGAGCGGATGTGATTGCATTTTGTAATGAAGTTTTGTAAATTCGTGTGGGCAAGTTTGTCTCATCTCAATCTTGTTGGAACTTTTAACCATGATATATACATATATTAAACAGCATATTTTTTAACACAAAAAATCTTATCGCATGCATCTCTAACAATAGGTTTGCCCATAAATAACGGATTATTAGAGTTTGATTTTTGGCTAGTTTTTCGCCTCATCGGGATTGTATTTTGATGAAAGGAACGAAAAAACATCCGTACAGACTCCTGTCCAGGTGAAATCATTTTCTTCCAAACTTGAACCAGGGATGATAATCAAATTATCCATACTTCCTATAACCTTGTGATGAAGCGGATATTCCTTTGACGGAACACCGTGTAATTGTCAAAGTGCTTTAAAGCTCTATCGATCATTAATAAGATCCTGAGGCAATTTGGGAGTTCTTGCATCTAATTATCGAAAGCTAAAGTTGGCCAGCCGATTTAACATTTAAGTCTCAGCGTGGTCTGGAGAGGTAATATAATTTCCTCCTGGCTTTGACGCTTTAAACTAAAATATAACAATATGAAAAATCGTTTTTATTAATTATTTTTTTATTTTATCTAAGGTTTTTGGTTGAGGTGAAAACCCTTAGATAAATATAATAATTAATTGGAATAATTAATGTGGTCATTTATGACCACTAAGCAAATATGGATTAATTTAGTTTTTAATAATATTGATCTGAATAAAAAAAAGGAAAAATAGACCTTAAAACTACATCTGTATGTTCTAGACTTTAACTGACAAATTAAGGGAAGAGATGAGATCCTTTTAAGGATGCCAGCCATAGAAATACTTATATATAAACACGTTTGTCTATGTCAGATCAAAACAATATTAACTTAATTTAGGTCTAAATGAAGAAGATTGGCACATTTCAAATTAATTTACTTTCATACACAGCAAATGTTTATGCCCGTTGATCCAGAAAATACCGTCACGTTATACATGAACGCCTTTCTAGGGAATATTTAGTACAAAACCAATTCAAAATCAGCAAATTGTCGTTTGTGCTGTATTTTTATTTATTTTTCATCCAACCTAATGGAAATGCTTATCAATGTTGAAGGTGGCTGTCAGCTGCACGCCTGAACATAAATTACCAAATCCACTTGTTTCACAGTTCTCTTCAAGGTCCTTCTCTGCTCTCAAGGATGCTTACAACCCCGAGGGACCGCAACATGAACGACATAGATTCTCGATTTTACGATGGGATTAACCGAAAATGGGTTTCGGACAAACAACCCGCCATTTTCAGTGTCTAAACGCAATATTATACATCAGCACTGACGGTGGGGTATTGTCAATAAAGGTCAAGAATGTATCAGCGATATATAATTCAACTGTGTTTATATATTTGCATAACCAGTACAAATGTCAGTCCTAAAACAACATTGCTCGTTCATTTAATATTTTGCTATGTTGGTCATGCACTTATAAAATCTCTAGTTATGGATAATCTTCTAAATCTTTTATTCAGAATGAAACATTAATGGTTTTTAATTTTAACCACTAACTTTAAAAGGAAGGCAAGGAAAATATCGTATATCGAAGCAAGCTTATTTTAATGTTTTGGATAGTTTTTGGGCCAGTTTGCCGACCAATATCAGCCTTCTTTTCTTTGCTGTTCCTTTTTTTCTTGCATTTTAATCCTTGTAATACATTTTCTG